TTACTGGCTAACAATATTCTCGCTGCCGTAAAGAAATAAACTATGAAGTATTTACTTGCCCTATTATGTGATATGGGTAGCATGTTTAATAGAGCAGTTTCTGGAGTAAATAATACCTGTATCCCCGTTATTTCAGTTATCAAACTATAGACTTTCTTCCAATATTTTTGAATTATATCACAATTCCACCACATATGTATATATGTTCCTACATTTCTTTTACATTTCCAACAGTTCCTATTCATATTTGGATAACATTTTGCTAATTTTTCGGGAGTCCAATGCCATCTGTAGAACATCTTATAGATATTCTCTTTATATGGAATTGCTTTCATTAGTTTTATTGAGTTCCACATCTTCTTCCATTGATCAATATTAATTGTTTTATGTAAGTCTTTCTCCCATGTTGACATTGTTCTTTTAATCTCTCCATCTGGTATGTAGTCTTCCATTAACAGCCGGTATATTTTCTGAATCAATTTGTCGCTGGATGACAACCATATTTTATCTAGTTCGTTTCTTTCACTGTAGAAGCCCCTCTTTTTATCCATTTTATATCTGGTGGTTAGTTGTGCCTTCTCCCACCATGAAAATTTAATGTTTTGTTTCAGCATTTGCTCTTCCGTTTTTAAGTTATTGGTTGAGTCCAATAATTCTTCATATGATAACATAAAGTTTTTTTCAACTATTGTTGAGATTGCAGAGGCTTCTATGGGTGCCACCCATTTTGGGGTTTTCGAATATAGTCGTGTTTTAATTTCTTTCCATATTATCATCAATGACCCTCTTATGGTATGTTGTAGAAAGTTTTTAATAATTTTAACATCTTCATACCATATATAATTATGCCAACCCATTAGAAGGTTATGACCTTCTAATTTCAATAATCTGTTATTTTCTAATGTTATCCAGTCCTTTATCCAAATTAAAGCAGCTGCTTTGTAATATAGTTTCCAGTTTGGCATTCCAAAGCCGCCTCTTTCTTTTTTATCCTGCATGTTCTTTCTTTTTATCCTCGCTTTTTTTTTATGGAATTTGGCAAAATATGCGATAAATTTGTATGGAGTGGTAAAAAAGCGAGGATAAAAAAATAATAATAATAAAAAAATGCTTGTCAGCCTCTTGATCTCATGGCAGCAACAGCTCTGCCCACCACAGTGAGCTTCTTCCTCCGGCTTGCTTCAGAGCGAGCTAATTAGGTCTCCCAGTGAGTTGCCGTCTCACTGGGACCTCAGCTCAAGCCCCCTGCCCCCCACTACTCCTTCCCTGGAGCGTGGGGTGGTCTCTGATTGTTCAGAGACCCTTTAAGTCTGAAGAAATGATCAGTCGCTCGGAGCTCAGCTCTCAAACGACTGCAGGCGCTGTGCCCTCCCATCCATCTCCTAGAGGAAATGTTCTTGATTTCATTTCTTTTTACACACCCCTGACCTGGATGGCCCAGGCTAGCCCAATCCCATCCACTCTCAGAAGCCAAACAGGGCCAGCCCTGATTAGTACTTGGGTGGGAGCCTACCGAGGAAGTCCAGGGCTGTTGTGGCGAGGCAGGCAATGGCAAACCACTTGCGTTCACCTCGTGCCTTGAAAACGCTACAGGGTCACCTAAGTCAGCTGCAACTCGACGGCATGTTCCACTACCGATTTTGCCACTTCTTTTGAGACTCTGTTGTTCATTTGTTCTATCTGTCTGTCTGTCTGCATCCTAAATCAACCTTATGGAATGGTGAAATTGCCTGTGTACCGTAACACAAGTGCCAGTCTGAGCTGCTTTGCTGCTGGACTGAATCACCAACACTTGAAGTTTCTTCAGCTGCTGGAGGAGGGACCTGGGAGACAATGAAGAAGAAGAGATTGGATTTATACATATTCTTTGAGGAGCTGTGGTGGCTCAAGTGGTTAAGACACTGAACTGCAGGCTGGAACGTCAGTAGTTCAGCAGTTCAAGACCCGCGTGCCGCAGCTCCTGCCAACCTAGCAGTTCGAAAGCAAGAAACTGCAAGTAGATAAATAGGTACCCCTTCGGTGGGAAGGTAACAGTGTTCCGTGCACCTCGGCGTTTAGTCATGCCGGCCACATGACCACGGAAACATCTTTGGACAGCGCTGGCTCTTCGGCTTGGAAACGAAGATGAGCACCGCATCCCTAGAGTCAGATTTGACTGGCTTTCGAGCAAGGGAAACCTTTGCCTTTACCTTTACCTTCACTTGGAGTCTCAGAGCAGCTTACAATCTCCTTTCCCTTCCTCTCCCCACAACAGACACCCTGTGGGGTAGATGGGGCTGAGAGAGCTCTTCCGACTGCTCGAGAACAGCTCTGAAAGAACTTGTCACTGACCCAAGGTCACAACCGCAGCTGCATGTGGAGGAGTGGGGAATCAAACCCTGTTCTCCCAGATCAGAGTCCACGCTCCTAACCACTACACCAAACTGGCTCTTGAAACAGACAGAGCCATCAGGGTCCTGGTAGAAAATAAGAGGTAGACAGTCTGTGGCCAAGAGGCCTTAAAGTTGCCCACCCCACCATGTTCCAAAGACCTTGATGTAAAATATCCTAAGCCGT